GTAGACCTGGAGATTATTATGCTGACCAAAATAAGCCAGTTAGAGAAAGACAAATGCTATATGCTCTCACTTACAGGTGGAATGTAATTAAAGCAATAAACTGACAATCAAAATAGAACCAGACTTAGGGATACATGGAACAGAGTGACAGAGGTCAAAGGGGAGGGGTGTGGTGGAAAGTGGATAAAAACACATGAAGGGATTATTCAAAGAACAATGAGAGTGTGATGCTGGCCAGATGGAAGGGGGCAGGGGCTGTGTGGAGGTGGCCAAAGGCAGGGAAATGTAATAGTGTCAATAATAAAAATTATGTTTAAAAAATAGGTCATTTGCCCGGCCGGTGTGGCTCGGTGGTTGAGAGTCAACCTATGAACCAGGAGGTCACAGTTCAATTCCTGGTCAGGGCACATAACTGGGTTGTGGGATCAATCCCCAGAGTGGGCGTGCAGAAGGCAGCCAATCAATGATTCTCTTTCTTCATTGATATTTCTAGCTCACTCTCCCTCTCCCTTCCTCTATGAAATCAATACAAATGTATTTTTTAAAATAGTATGTCATTTAAAAAGAACTTATGTAATCAAAACCAGGAGCTCTTAATGCTGTGGCCTAAGATTGAAGTTCTTTATAGGATGTAATAGATAGTCAATAGTGCTATGTTTGCCTGAGGAGATGTAAGATTTTTTTAAAGTCCTCTTATTCTGTCTGCCTTGCCCTTCACTTGGAAACAGGATGCTAACCTCACATTAGCACCATGGACAACACCATAGAGAGGAAAGCTTTGCAGACTTGGGTATCAAGAATAGTATTAGAACAGAACTAGCTAGTTTTTTTTTAAATTCAAATACTTTATTTATAATTTTAAAATAAATTGTAAATAGCCACACCAGAGGAAATACTGAATTGTCTTTCCAACCTCTGTACAGAAAATAATGCTAGAAAATCGTTGTCATATTAAGAGGTAATCAGAGTTTGTGAGAAAAAAAATAATTTTAGGGGATGTCGATCTATTAATAATAAAGATAATACTGTGATTTTTCTACATTTTTAATGTTTGTTGTATTGGTTAACTCTTTAAAATGTATGACTTTTGGTGTTTGGTGATTACTGGTTCTAAGTAATCATTCAATTTTGTGTTCACAATTTTACATTCTTTTTCCTAAATCATATGAAATTCAAGTTTTATAAACTCTAGGCTCAACAAAATCTGGATGAAATCTTCTGTGTGCAATAAAAATTTGATGTGTAGTGAAAAATTCATAAATAAAGTCCAAATTTAGAGTTTTGCTGTCACTCATAGAACACCTGAGGTATCAGGTAACCAAGAGATTTGGTTGATGGAGAGGAATGGAAATAAGGCCAAAGAGCCAGATCTTAACTGTTTTGAAGGTGTCATATCAGTCATGGACCAGCAACAGACACTGAGAAGAGATGGCTTTAGGGCAGTGATGGCGAACCTTTTGATCTCCTCGGCGTGTCAGCATTTTGAAAAACCCTAACTTAACTCTGGTGCCATGTCACATATAGAAATTTTTTGATATTTGCAACCATAGTAAAGCAAAGATTTATATTTTTGATATTTATTTTATATATTTAAATGCCATTTAACAAAGAAAAATCAACCAAAAAAATGAGTTCACGTGTCACCTCGGACACGCGTGTCATAGGTTTGCCATCACTGCTTGAGGGAATAAGAATGTCTTTCTGTTCTCTGAGATATGCCTTATCTGCTGGGAGATTTGCATTGAGAAGGATTGAGAAAAATGGGGAAGTCCTCTGAGGTTCTTCAAAGATTTCTTATTGAACACTGATCCCTGGACTCTCTATGTCATATCCTAGTAACTGAGACATCACTACTGGCCACCATGAGTACAAAGCAGATAAAGATGGGTGTAATAATCCACATGAAGTGGACTGAGTTGATGAATATCATTCAAAGAAAGGGCAATTATTGTGAGTTTTTTTGGCAGGGCCACCAGGTAGGATTGTGTAGGTATTCCTCTTTGTGTAAAAAATCAATGGGATAAAATATCCTCCCGTGAGGATTAACAAAAACAAACAAACAAACAAACAAACAAACAAATGAAAAGTGACCAAGATTAAGGCAAAGAAGGTGAAAGGAGGAGATTGTGTCCAATCAAAGCTCAAAGTTTATGGATACTGCATGGGGGACATTTCATTCCAGTATTAAATGAAGCCCAGAAGCATAAGTGTTCTCTCTTAGCTGCAACCAGCACAGGTAGAGAGCGGATGAGTCCTGAGTAGGGGCGAGGGGGGATTGAGAAAAAGAAAGAGACAGACACACAGACAGTAGGGAAAACTGGGACCAGGTGGGACACTGCCCTCTGATGGAGAGACAGTGACCCAGAGCTAGTGCAGCGCATTTATTATATACAGCGTGATACCAGGAAGTTTTACTAGAGGTTAAGACAAAGGAAATTATGTGAAATCAGGCTGAAAGATCAAGCCACAATTCTTCCTTCTTGTGGCTTCTCAGAATCATCAGGCCTGATGGGACCCTGATAATTGCATCAGCACCTGGCACCTGGCTGAACTTAGATAATTACACCCACCCCCTGGCGCCTGAGCTAAAGGTCAGGACTGAGGACATCCCTGCCTTTGGCGAGGTATGTCTCCAGGTCATGGCTTTACAAAAGCTGCTGGACTCAGCTGAGGGCCCTTGGCTCAGTTGCCCCCCAGGCGCTCTCTGCACAGAAGAAAGGCCTGAAGAGTGCCATTAGCAATGTGTTGCCACCTCAAGGCTTCTGAATGTTAGGTTGGAGGAAGGCTAAGGAAAGAGTCATTCCAGTTAGTAAGGTTGGAGTTGAAGGAGACCCTGTGGCAATGGTCATGGTGAGAGATGACATGATTGATGCCTGAGGTAGTCCTTGTGGACAAAGAGGCTATTTCCAGAAGACTTTCCTTTGTTTGATGTACCAGGCTCTGTTTTATTTTTTTATCTTTGTTGTTGAAAGTATTACAGATGTTCCCCATTCACCCTGATTGACCCCCTCCTCCCCACTTTCTTAAATCTGCCTTGGAATGTTTTTAGGAATAGTGTCTTCTGAGTAGTGTGTCTCCTAAGTGGTTCTCTGGACTTGCTGAGAAGTTGATGAACAATCAGAGCCCCTGGAGTTGTCGTTTTGATATCTTGGCAAGAACTCAAAGAAGCTGAGAATGGAGGGTGGACTCAATCACTACAGAGAAAACAGTCCTAGAGAGAAGGGTAGATATGAGCCAGACTGGGTGTCCTATGTGATATGAAGCTGTGGTTGCTATACATCTCCTACTGCTGCCTCTGAAAATGTGGATTGCATTTATTCTGTGTCTGTTTCAGCGTGTAGGTTTGGCATGATGAGGTATTTTGCCCCGTTAGTGCACATATTGAAAAGAACTGCACCTAAGAAGTTATACTCAGTTCACTTTGTGAGCCCCAGCTCCTGGTTTAAATGGCGAAATCCTGAACTTCTGTCTTGAGCTTGTTGCTGTTATTGTATTACACTTGGGAATTCCTTGGAGAGTTGTCAGAGTTTGGGGTATGAGGGAAGTGTGAGCGTCTCTGGAGCCTGATGGTGGAACAGTACTAGTCTAGGATGACTTGCCATGAATCACGAGTTGAATCACAAGTCAACATACCCACGCCCTGGTGTAGTCTTCTCCACATGATTATGGCCGTCTCTCTCATTCACGTTTGACCAATAAGATGTGTTGGGAGTGACACTGCATGACTTCTAGAGCTGGGTCCCATTACACCTTGCACCTTCTGCTTGAGCTTATTCAAGGGTTTTCTGTGGCAGAAGCCAGTCACCGTTCATTAAATCCCAAACCCCTGCGACCTCTGTGATTTGAAGAGGTCTAAGGCAACCATGAAGGTCATGTGAAGAGAGACATAACCAGCCAGCCCCCAGCTGCGTCAGCCAGCCCAAGTGAAGTGTCAGACATGAGGAAAACATCCATCAGAAAACTTCCCTTCCCACCGCAATTTGATTAAGGCCACATGATACACTACCCATATGAGTGCAATAACCCTACAAAACAGAGAGAGATAATCATAAATTATTGTTTTAAACCAATATGTTTTGGGGAGGTTTGTCATTCTGTAATGATTAAGTGAGACAACATCAAAACCAGAGTCTGTTCCCTGCATCCAGGTATATAAATTGTTCTTGTTTTAATAACAATTTTTATCCTCCCTGGTCTAAAATGGTGACAATTCATTATCAAACATGCCTCAGGCTTCTGCCCACATAAATTGGAAAAATCTTGCAATTGTTTGAATAATAGAAAAATCTTCTAGGCAATTTTTTTGGTTTTTCAAATAGTCCTTGGATTATAATTTTTTAAGTGCACCCTGGCCAGGTGGCTCAGTTGGTTGGAACATCATCCTGTACACCAAAAGGTTGCAGGTTCAGCTCCCAGTCAGGGCACATATGGAAGGCAACCAATTGACATTTCTCTCTCTTATTGATCTCTCTCTCTCTCTCTCTCTCTCTCTCTCTCTCTCTCTTAAAATCAATAAAAATATATCCTCAGGTGAGGATTAAAAAAAATTTTAACTGCTGGCCTTGTCATTTTCTTCATTTTCCCCAGTGCATCTTACACAAAACCACAGTGTCAATATGTATTAAACATCCTTACCATAAAGGAAGAATTAAGACTTTTCACCCGATTTGCCTCAAAGTACAAAGTTTCTTCCCAAACCACCAATTATAGCACTATGTGTGCAGAGAGATGCCTGAAGTCTTAGTTTAGCTCTCTGAACTTGGGGAAGGATTTTGCTTCAGAGTTCCTAACATATCCTAAGCACTACATCATAAGAATATGGTTCCAATGTCTTCTCAGATATTTCATGAGCCTGATACTCACTCCTTGTATCAGAGAAATGTTTATCCACTTTGATACCCTGATTTCTCCCACAATATTCTCACACCCCTCTTGGTGATAACCACATACTCTTTTTTCCCTCTCTCTTTTCCCTTTAAAGCAAGAAGCAAATCTTGTTGTGTTTTCAGGAGTTTTAATGACCAAGTGTGGGGGAAGGGTGAGAACCCATGGTGTTAGTGAGCTCTGGGAACCACAGGATCACTTAGGTGGAGGGATCTCCTTGACAACGGGGAGTCTGTTCACACCCTTCTCTAAGGGGTAATCTCCACTGAGGTCAGGGACACATCTCTCCACACCTGGATCATCCTCACAGATGCTGAGTCAACTTGATGGGGAAAAGTGTAATATTGGACACCATTTGCTGTTACCTGGAAGAGAGTATGTGTTAGGAATATAGCATGCCACCAAACAAACTTACCGTCTTCCTTTCCTTTCCTACCCTATACACACACCATCCACCAGAAACTCCTAGTCACACTCTAAAGCCTGACATGCTTTTTTTGGTAGCCTGCCTTTTCTGACTATTTCAGACAGTTATTCACCCTATTTTCTGTGTTTCTCTCATTCTTCCACTGAGGTGCTAGCACTCTATGTTGTACTGTCTATGTTTGCCTGGGCTTCCCTCTGGCCAGGAACTGTTTCATGAATCGTGAGTCTGGTTCTCGCACAGAGTATCATAGCTAATTGGTCATTACGTGTTTATTGAGTGCATTCGTTTTAGCTCTGCTAAACTTTACTGCCCTTTACTCTTGGTGACCAAGCAGCTCAGATTTGGGTGGTAAAGGTAAAGAATAAAAGTCTTTTTTACCCTAATTTTTCCTATTTTTATAGAGCGAGAGTGGAAGAGAGGGGGGAGGGGAGAGAAGAGAGAGAGAGAGAGAGAGAGACCGATGTGAGACTCAATTGGTTGCCTCCTGCATGCGCCCCAATGGGGTCGGGGATTGAACCTGCAACCCAGATACATGCCCTTGATGGAGAATCGAACCTGAGACCCTCCAGTGTGCAGGCCAATGCTCTAACTACTGAGCCAAAATTTGAATGTTCCTAAAGAGGAGGAATAGTACATAGGATTAAAATGATAATATTTTTATTCAGTTTATAAGCAAATGGAACAATGCCTCACTTCAAACATAGGACAGTAAATCTTTTTGCTTCTCCAGTGATAGAAGGTTTAAACATACACTTTATGGGTATGGCTATGGAGAAATAGAGGACTTTTTAGGTGTTAATTTTGCAAATTTAAAATGCACACATTTTTTGAACCAGTTATTCAATTCCTCTGAAAGTATCCTTCCTTATAAAAATCGGGAGGTTGATAATGACAAAAATGTGATCTAGAAGGAAGCATCATTCATGAGAGCAAAATATGGAAACCACCTTAATGTGCATGAATAGGGTCAAGTTAAATTATCTGAAAATGATTCTCTTGGAATATTATGTAAACATTAAAGGATGTGGGGGCATCACAAATAGAATGATGTTAGTTTCTCTAATATACATTCTTTGACAACAAATAAAATCTAGTCATCAATGTGTGATTTCTAGAGGAACTTATAACATCATTTGTTTAAAAATAAAAGCAGACAGAAATAAATAGTAGATAGATGATAGATAGGCTCGAACAATCACACAGTATCTCTGGAAGGAGCATAAAGGAATTAGGAAGTGTTGCTCTGGAAAGAGTGACTGGGTTTGGGAATGTAGGAAAGACTTAATTTTAGACTGATTATAATTAGTTATATGCATATTTTAACAATCTTCTACTTGAAAACTGAAGGAATGACAGCATAGGTAGAAACGATGGCTGTGAGTGAACACAGGAACTTCTCCACCCTGGAGAATAAGGCACGTGGGCTGATCTTGACCTGCTCAGATTTGGAAAAGGACCTGAGCATGCAGTACAAGCAGAGGGTGCTCTGTGATGAGAGGGGCAGGAGATGGAGCCACAAGTGACTCTGGGGGCCAGGCCAGGGGAAGCTGTGTGCTCCTGTGAGAGCCCTGAGAGCCCATGTAGTGGATGTTCCTGGGCACACTCACCTGGTACTCGTTTGACAGCACAGAGATGTACACTTCAAGGGGTTGGCCATCCCTAAAGGGCATATCAGTGTATTTCACTTCTGGACCCCACTTCCCACCCTGACGGCTGTTCATCACCAGCTCTTTGCCAAAGTACACTCGGAGACTGAAGGCGATGTCTGAGTCCTCATTAGTTCCAATGAAGAAATCCACCTGCAGTTCTGGGGTCATGCTGAAGGCAAAGCACACAGCCTGTTGAGCGAGACTCTTCCTCATGGGGGCCCACATTCGACATACATGTGCACACCCTCCCAACTCCTCCTGGGGGAGGGAAGGCCTTCCTGGGTGAGACTGCAGTACATGTCCCTGTGGGCTGCTTCAGCTTGTCCGGCCCAGGCTGGGGAGATGCCTCATCTCTTAGCCCAGAACTCATGCTGAGCAGCAGTCACTGGCCTGGGGCTACTTTTCATGCCCTGAAAATACTGTGTTTCTTGATAATAAACCTCAGCTCCAATGCCTGAGTGACCCCAGGCTCCAGACTTCAACACTTGCCCACAGACATGCACCTGTAGGTTTAATACCTGGGACCACATGGGTCTCCAGGAACTGAAACTGCATTGTGCTACCGTTATGCTAATTACAAACTTTAACCTCAGTCATGCATGAAGTGACCCCCAAAGCTCTAATAATCTCCCTTCTCTTCCCGATGGGCTATAGATACTCACCAGAAAGGCATGATAGGTGTCCCGTTGATTTTCACTGAAGAACCAACAGAAATGGATACATTTTTTTTGTATAGGACCTGCCATGGGAGACGAGAGTAGTTGAGAGGGGCAAGGCCAGGTGAGGTCGCCCATCCTGTAACAGTTCCCAGTGGCAAAGCAGGTTATACATCAAAGGACATACTCTGAGGACCCTCTTCTTCCAACCTCACCACAGGCAGGTCCCTGTGTCTTTGAATAAATGAGAAGGTTGAAGTTCACAGCAAGAGTTCTAAAGCCAGGTGGCCTGGATTCTAATGCTGATTCTGTCTCTTACGACCAATGAGAACTGAGTTCCATTACTTGAATGCTCCCTGCCTCCGTTTTCTCAGGACAAGAACGATTATAAAATTCCTATTTCATAGGATGTTCTCAGGAATATCTGAACTAATAGATGTAAAACCTTCAGCATGGTCACTGGCAGGTGTAGGGTCTATACAGGGTGACTTAGCGGAAGGGGAGGGCCCTTTCTCGGATACCACCCTCCCATCGGTTTTTATCTGAAACTGTGAAGATAAGGCTTTAGAGTGCAAAAGTATAAAATATAAAAATCCAATCCAATATAAGACAGTTGTTTAAAGGGAGAGGGAAATAATGGAAAAGGAGACTCCTCTGTGTGGCATGTATATGCATCAGAATTTTCAGGGGAAATAGTGTCCTTTCAGGCATGTGTACAAGTGGCTGTGGACAGTCAGTACCTGCACACAGGGCGGGAGACAGGAGAGTAATTAGATAGAATCTACAGGTTGTTCCTGATATCGACTGTAAGGTTTGTCTGGACTGAGGCTGGTTTTGTTCCTTCCATCTTCGGGTGATCCATTCTCTGATACCAGTTCTCCCGACCACCTTCCCCAGAGAGCCAGGATCTGCTTAACCTTTTTTTGTTGTTAGGACAAAGGAAGGACTGGCTGGGGGAGGAGACCTGAGGCAGAAGCAGGGGTCACTGTGTGCTGACCTAGACAGGTGACCCTGTGCCCCACAGTCTGAGTTCATCTTTCCCCAGCCTTCTTAAGAAGAAGCATCTGAGGACTGGCTCATTGTGCTCTCATTAATGCTCAGGGAGGAGTCCTGGGAAACCCACTTTTTCCAACCTCCAGTTCTACCCACCAGGAGCTGCAATGATACACATGGAAAGAACCACAGATACTTAAACAGTCGCTACCATGTATGGGAGAACCCTCAGAAGCAGACACAGCTGCACACATATTCATAGTTCATCAGGCAGTCATAGTTCATCATACACACAGTTACACAAAGACATGGAACTCACCGTCTTACACATATCTCCCAACACTACTACTCATGATGACATGCACAGCTGTTCAACCACTGCCCCAGCTGCACTCACATGCACATACTCAGAGGCATGAAGACAAATGTGCAATCTCACCCCTTGCACCCATGCTCACACTCCCTCATCCCAGTCAACTGTCACTTCCCACACAGAGTCACAGTGTCTCAATAGAGTTCACCCTCAGTGAGATACCACCGAATGCTGACAGTAGATATGCTGCCCCATCCTCTCTCTTCCACACATTACAACCCCCAGTAAAACATTCCCAATATTTTCATCTCAGAGAATCTCAGACTCTTTCCTCCTTCCCTTATGGGACCGGGAATCATTGAAGGCTGTGCCTTTTCAACTCACCGGCAGATATTCCATTGTTGTGCCTTCTGCTAGCAAGCTCTTCCAAATTGTGTCCTGGTTGTGTGTGTGATCTCTGCAAGTGGCAGGTTATAAATGATTTCTAGAAGCCCCGCCCTCTGGCTTCCTTTCAGTTTCTAAGTCTCTTCTAGAAAGATTCCCAGCAGGTGAGAAGGTGTGGGGTATCATAAATAGAATTAATCACAACTATGTCCTTGAAAAGGATGTGTTGTGATGCAATAGAAACTTCAGTGAGGAAATTGTGGGTGAGGAAGGATTAGCAGGAAAAATGCATGAATAAGGGTGATGGAATGATGGGTGAGTGGATCTATAATGCAGCCTACGTGCCTCTCACCAATTATTTATCCCTCAGAGCAGAACCCACCCAAAGGTACACATTTTTCTAACTTGAACAATGGCAAAGAATTGGTGGTGCTGGAGGTGAGGACTCCCTTCCAGAGGTCCTGCGACATAGAAATTGATCCTCAGCAGCCCTGGAGATAGAGAGAAAGTCTTTGTGCCATTTCCTTTTCACAGTAGGTCCCTTGGCTCTGCTACTGCCAACAGTATTTTAGCCTTTTTGTTTCACCCTCTTGGTCAACTTCTAACAGACATCAATCAAGATTGGACATTTAAGATTAAAAATTATTTGTAGTAATAACACTTGAATAAGTATGATTTAATCATGATGACCTATTCAATAAAATATAGCACACCCAATTAATGAGACATTTTAGAGTCATTAAAAAAAGGAAAAATAAAACAATAAAACACAAGTTAAATCAGAAAGTTTTTCAACATTAAGATTTCTAAGTGGAATGTAATGAACAAAATAAACTGATGAACAAAATAGAAACAGAGGCATGGATACATGGAACAGACTAACTCTTACCAGAAGTCGTAGATGAAAGAGGGTGAAGGGATTAACCGAAGAGCATATATGCATAACCCTTAGACACAGACAACAGTGTGGTGATGGCAAGAGGAATGGGGGGCCAGGGGTTGGGTTCAGGTGGGCAAAGGGGGGTGGAAATGGGGACATCTGTGTCAACATATGTCAACAATAAAAGTAAAGTAAAAAAATTTTTTAATTAAAAGATTGCTTCTTGCCAGAGGGAACTCATGGAATACTGCCACCATGGGAGCAAGCCCAAGGCAGCCTACTGGAGAGGCCAGGTGGAGAACGAAGGCTCCTTGGTCAACTGTCAGACATGTGAGTGAGGCCATCAGGGACTGTACAACCCTAAAGAAGTCACCAGCTTACTGCACCCGCAAGAGAGAGCAGACAAAACCTACAGAAGGACCGTTAACCTGATCCCAGCCCAAAATTTCAACCTACAAAATTGTAATCTCACAGACCCATTTCTGTTTCTAGCAACTATGCAACAGCAATAGATAAGTTAAGTAATTCTGATATATTTACAGATGAATTTACTGATGTTTAGGGATTTGCTTCAAAAGAAGCCAGGGGTGCTCTAGCCCAGTGGCTCAGTTGGTCACAGCATTGTCCTGTACACTGAAAAAAAAAAAAGTTGCAGATTTGGTTTGATTCCCAGTCCGAGTACATACCTGGGGTTTGGGTTTGATCACCGTTTGGGGTACATACCAGAAGCAACCAATCTCTCTTTCTCTCTAGCCCTTCATCTCCCTTACCCTCTCTCTAAAAAACCAATACACATATCCTTGGGTGTGGATAAAAAAAGAAAGAAAAAAGAAGCCAAGGGTGAGGTGAGTAGAGCTATGGATGAACAAGATGGGTTATATGATGATAGCTGTTAAAGCTGATGAGTATATGAGGGCTTACTGTACTATTGTCTCTACATTTGCTTATGTTTGAAATGGAAATTTTCCATAATAAATAATTAAAGGAAAAGAAGGGAAGGAAAGTAGATGGGGGAAAAGGAAGAAAAGAAGGAAAATAACCCTTCTATTAATGAAAGACAGTGAGTTCTGCAATGTAGCACAGCCAAGTCATAGACAAATTCATTACTGAACAGACTCCTGACTCCTGGGCCAGGCCCTTTCCATCCCCCAACATGGTCAGAGGCAGGCAAGTCCCACAGGAGAAGCAGTCCAGGTAGGAATATTTTCTTTTATTTCTTGAGAAAATCCTCATGGCAGGTAGGTCTAAGTCATTAGTAATTGTGAGAGCTTTGATGAAAAATGATCTTTATTTGTTGGGATGTATCGTTGATCTAAGTTGGGGGAAGAAACATTTGTCAGAATGAGACAGAAGAGTAAGAAGCTGGGAAAATTCTTTGGCAAGTGGAATGGGGAAACCGAGACAGACAGCAAACAAACTAGCCAAGCAATTTACAGACAGTTGCAGAAGGTGGCCTCCCTAGAGATAATATCTAGGTCTCTGTTGTATTTGAGCTCCAGGCTCAGAAAAGCAGCAAAACCTTGTGGGCCAATCAAGGACCAGCTGCAATAACTTGGGCCAACCAATCAGTGGAGACCATGACCTTGAAATGAAACACATGGAAAACTCAAGAATATTCTATTGAGATCTCCCCTAAGACGTCCCCTAAACTCCCAGCCTTTAATAACCCTCCAAAGGACCCAGCATGAGCCCTCTCCTTCCTGGTAGCAAATCTATGCCTTACCCTCTCCTCTCTCCTTCCCCCAGAGTGTGCATCACTTAAATTCTAAGGGACCCTCTAAACCTGTCTCCAGCCCCACCTTTCTCTGATTTTCCAGGGAGGGAACATCAGCCCCACCTTGGCCCAGTTCTTTATGATAACGTTTCTAGTGAACCCAGCAACCGGGCGTTGGTTCTCCTGTTGCTTCATCTATCCTAAGCCCTTCCTTTAAGTCACTAACCAAAACTTTAACAAACAGTCTCCCAGTCACCTTGTGTTGTGAAATCTTTCCTGCATGCAATCAAGGACCCATCCGTTACCTGTGGGCCCTAGGTTTATGCACTCCAGGCCTAGTCACCATCCAGGGACAAAACGTCCACTCAGGACTGGAAAGCCTGTGGAAGCAAGTTCTCCCCTTGAGCTTGGATTGTTTTTAGATCCAGCACAGCCACAGGAACTGGCTGCTACTACTCGTTCAACTTGCTATTTTCCAACATGTTCCTTGCATCAGACTCTCCGTTGGGCTGTGATGTGGTAGGACCCATGTTTCTGAGCCCTTTGACCTGCGCACACCTGCAATCACCCACCTGTGATCACACAAATTCTTCCTCTGAAGCCTAATTTCTCTCCTGGAAAGTGAAGTACAGGTACATAGTAAATGCAGGAAGATATGAAGATTTTGATCAGATTTGGTCCAAATGACCAAAAGCACATGTGAACATGAGAATTTTATACTTTCCACTTATGTAGTAAGAAGGAATCATTAACAATGTTGAAAAATCCGTCTCCAAATTCTAAAAACCTTCAGACTTAACTCTGCAAATAATAAGGAAAACTTTTCATTACTTGCCTCAGTCCCCTTCCACCCTGAGGTGTGGCAGGGGGAGGTAGTGGACTCAGGCTTAGGAGTCTAGAGGGGCAAGAGAGGCACCACATGCCCCAACTGAGGGAAGAACTCATCAAAGTGAAGCTGTGGGTTGTAACTGGGTCTGGATTTGGGTTGAATGTGAAGAGGAATTTGAAACACTTGTATCAGGAATTACCAACTGATGCACATTTCATATCCCATCAATCAGGCCTGCACAAGGACTCATGCCTGCTTACATTCAGTGTGCTCAAAGCAGCCTGGAGAAGGAAATCCAGACAAAAAAGTGTGGGTCCTGAATTGTATGAGGTGATTGGGTACTTACTACATTACTTAAATTCATTGGCATCATCACAGATGCCCCACAACTACCACTAAAGCCTCCCTTTTTCCTTCTCAAAAGGACATTTACAACACACACACACACACACACACACACACAACTTATGCTATGAACTATGAATCATGGCCTCATCTGCCAGGTGTCAATCCCAAAAGCACTTCCTTGGGGCACTCTCTCACTCACTCACTCCTGAGATAATGTCAAGTCTCTTGTTAACAACTCCCTTTGGGTCCCTTTACTTGCACTTTAAAAAAGAGTTCAGTACTTATCCCTTTAATGTCTGTCCCCTGCTCTAGACTAAACCGTTTGCCTGGTTGGCAGCTATACACTCTGCGACCAGCTCAAGGCCCTGCCAGAGCAGATGCTCTCTGTTTATTGACACCACCAGCAGCCGTATCCTGAAAGGAGGTGGAGGTGACCGGGATCCAATTTGATGATGAAGGGTCAGGAAGACCAAATACCAGGAGTGAATCTGATACAAGTGTGCAAGTTCGTCACACTGGCAACTTCCAAACATTGCTGAAATGTAACTCAGGGCCTGGGGACCGTTCTGGGGAGGAGCCAGACATGACCCACTCTCTGCAGGTGCCCTCCTGGTTGATAAATCAGCCACTCCTGAGACTCTCTGCCAGGGATTCTCTAGCCAGTGGCTCAGTTGGTCAAAGCACTGTCCTATACACTGAATAGAAAAAAAAGTTGCAGATTTGGTTTGATTTCCAGTCTGAGTACATACCTGGGGTTCGGGTTTTATTAACGTTTGTGGTGCATAGGAGAAGCAACCAATCTCTCTCTCTCTCTCTGTCCCTTCTGCTCTCTCTAAAAAACCAATACACATATCCTTGGGTGAGGATTGAAAAGAAAAAAGAAGCCAGGGGTAAGGTGAGTAGAGGTGTGGATTAACAAGATGGGTTATAGGATGTTAGCTCTTAAAGCTGATGAGTACATGAGGGCTTATTGTACTATTGTCTCTACACTTGCTTATGTTTGAAATGGAAATTTCCCATAATAAATAATTAAAGGAAAAGAAGGAAAGTAGATAGGGGAAAAGGCAGGAAAGAAGGAAAATCACTCTTCTATTAAAGAAAGACAGTGAGTTCTGCAATGAGGCCCAGCCAAATCACAGACAAATTCATTACTGAACAGACTCCTGACTCCTGGGCCAGGCCCTTCCCATCCCCCAACATGGTCAGAGGCAGGAAAGTCCCACAGGAGAAGCAGTCCAGGTAGGAATATTTTTTTTTATTTCTTGAGAAAATCCTCATGGCAGGTA